AGAACGCGCTGACAGTTCCTCTCCCTTTCTGGGGAGGCCCGCCTTGGGCCGTTCCACCACTTCAGTGTTCAGGGGGGTGGTGGAGACGGTGATGAAAACGGCCGAAAAAGTGGCCTCTCTGGTTTCAGAGATTATGGAACTTTTGGCGAAGGAGGCGGTCACAGTAGTTCCCCTGGAGCAAAGGAACAAAAGGCTATATTCGCCCTATTTCCTGGTGCCCAAAAAGACGGGGGGAATGAGGCCGATATTGGATTTACGCATTCTCAACGAGAGCGTAGCCAAACGACCCTTCCGAATGCTAACGACAAAACGTCTACTGGAATGTGTCTAGAAGGGAGACTTTTGTATGAGCATTGACCTAAAGGACGCGTACTTTCATGTGCCGGTGCAGCCGCATCACAGAAAGTTTCTGCGATTCGCCTTTCAAGGGGTGGCGTACGAGTTCACGAGGATGCCATTCGGGTACGCCCTGGCACCTCCCACGTTTTCAAAGTGTGTGGAGGCGGCGTTGGAACCGTTGCGTCATCAGGGAATAAGGCTACTAGCCGACCTACTGGTTCTCGCCCCGTCAGCAGAGCTGGCGTTCACTCACACGACACAGACAGTGATTCATCTCACGCGTCTGGGGTTCGCGGTGAATTGGAAAAAGAGCGCGCCCTGGCCCAGTCATCAGATTGTCTACCTGGGGATACAGCTAGACACTGTAATGATGAGGGCTCGAATTTCGGACCCTCGAAGTGTAGCCCTGTTGCTAGCCCTGAGAAGGTTTCGTCCGAATCACACGGTAACGGCGCTGTCAGTCATGTCACTCTTGGGTCTCATGTCGTCAGCCCATTTCGTGGTCCCGCTGGGACTCCTGCGCATGCGCAGGATGCAGCGATGGTTCGTCCAACTAAGACTAGACCCAGTGCGTCAACGTCATCGGTTGGTGGTGGTTCCTCTCTCGCTCAGTGCAGATCTGAACTATTGGAGAGACCCGAGCGTTCTCAGGCACGGAGTCCCAATAGGCAAAGTGTCCTCCTACATTCCAGTGTTTACAGATGCCTCTCTGACTGGATGGGGAGGGACATGTCAGACCCAAGCGATAGGAGGTGTGTGGCCTCTTTTGAGTCGCCACATCAACCTCTTGGAGTTGGAAACGGTTTGACTGGTTCTGACCCACTTCGCGTCTACCCTTCGGGGTCGTGATGTTGGTCTGGTCAGACAACCGGACCACAGTAGCCTACATAAATCACCAGGGAGGAGTCAGGTCTCCTGCACTCTACCGGTCGGCGGAGGAATTGTAGCTGTGGGCTCACGAGCACCTTCGCTCGTTGAGAGCAGCACACATTCCAGGCTACTTGAACGTGGGAGCAGACCTCATGTCTCGAGGGGGTCCTTGAGACGACGAGTGGCGTCTGCACCCGGACATTGTTCTCCAAATTTGGGAACAGTTCGGGAGAGCCGAGGTGGATCTATTTGTGTCATGTGTGATCGCGCATTCTCCTCTATGGTTCTCTCTAAGGGATTAGGACGAACCGCCACTGGGGAGGGACGCGTTTGCGCACCGACCGTGGCCGAGAGTTCTCCTGTATGCATTCCCACCGCTATCCTGCATTCACCCACTGTTAGCCAGGGTGAGATCAGGCGGGCTGTCAATCATATTGGTGGCTGTCACGATCGTCAAAAGGATTGGACCAATGCGCAGCGTGGAATGCGAACATACTTTATTATATATTCACCACACGAACAAAAACAACAAAACGATACGTGAAGTCCTTGGTAACAAACACAAACCAACACGGAACAAGATCCCACAATACACTGTGCCAAACAGGCTGCCTAAGTATGGTTCCCAATCAGAGACAACAAGCAACAGCTGATTCTCGTTGCCTCTGATTGAGAACCACCCCGGTCAAACATAGATACACATGAACTAGATCCTAACATAGAAACACAAACACATAGAATCTACACACCCTGGCTCAACATATAAGAGTCCCAGAGCCAGGGCGTGACAGTGGCTCCCGATCGCCCAGGGGCTCCATGGTTTGCGGAGATGATTCAGATGTTGATTGCGCCACCTTGGCCAATTCCACATCAACGGGACACGTTGACTCAGGCGGGAGGTGCGATAGGGCAATTGCCCATAATCGGCCAACCACTGAAGGCTTGGCTCCTGAGAGGGACAGGCTAGAGCGCCGTGGGTTATCTGATTCTGTAATCAGGACCATACAGGGTTCACGTGCCAGTTCCACTTCCAGGGTGTATGCCAGCAAATGGAACGGGTTTTCACAATGGTGTGCCACAGAAAATGTGGACTCCGTGTGCTGTCAGGTTGAGAGTGTTCTCTCGTTCCTACAGTTGTTATTTGATAAACAACGTTCACCCGCCACCATTAAGTTGTTTGCAGCGGCGATTTCGGCTTGTCATGAGGGGTTTGGCAGAGACACTGTCTTCAGTCACCCCCTGGTGAAACGTTTCCTTTTCGGAACACGGCGGCTTAGGCCGATGCCTAGAGCCACGCTTCTTCAGTGGGATTTGGCTTTGGTACTCGAAACGCTCTGTGAGTCGCCGTTCAAACCATTGAATCAAATTCCCCTCAAGATGCTGTCTGTGAAGACGGCACTGTTGCTCGCTTTGACTACTGCTAAGCATGTCAGTGATTTGTGTGCTCTTTCGACGAGACCCGACTGCCTTGCCATTAATTGCGATTTGAGCAGAGCGGTGTTACGTCGAAGGTTATTAAGAGCTCATATAGATCACAGAACGTGGAGCTGTGGGCTTTTTCTCCCCCTCCCCATGGGGAGAGGAGAGAGGAAAGGCTCCATCGCCTGTGCCCAGTGCGCGCTTTGGCGTGTTACGTTGAGCGCACAGCAGCGATTAGGTCATCGCCTCAGCTGTTTGTGTGTCACGGTGCGGCTGCACTAGGTAGACCACTTTCGAAACAGCGTCTGTCTCATTGGCTTTGCGAAGGCATCGAGACAGCTTATGAGGCAGCGGGGCGACAATTGCCTCTGGGTATAAGAGCACACTCCACTCGTGGAGTAGCGGCTTCTACTGCCCTTTTCAGAGGAACAGGGGTAGAGGATATCTGTGCAGCGCCGTCGTGGTCGTCACCGTCTCCATTTATCAGTTTCTATCTCTTGGATATGTATTCTAATTCTTTGGCTCGGTCTGGACTCAGCGTAGCTGATGGGAGGCCTTGAGCTAGGGGAAAGGAATGCAGGACTAAAAGAGGTAGGTCTCTTTCAGGTCCATTCCTGTTAGAGGGAGACATATGACATGACTCCTGACTGACATGTTCAATACAGTAGAGGGAATGTTATCTATCTGCCCACCAGTATTACTGGGTTGGGGCGGAATGATGAGGGGAAATAGTTTTTGTAACTTTGTTACATTACTATTGACCAGCCATAAAATATGGACGGAATTGTGACGTCATCTATCTGCTGGTTCAGATTAGTATGACTCATATTCTGGTTATCTGCCCACTAGACATTGGCAGTGCCATTGGACTAGGTGGGGCGGATTTGAACCGAGGACGCAGTATATTGTGACACAGTGTGTTACAGTACTGCAGGATTTGGTCACAACAATTCCTAGGTCCGACCTTTTCATTTCGATGGGAAGTGTTGTGCTTGGCAGGGAGTACATTTTGGAGCGTTGTGCTCCGCCTTAAACCAATAGGAGCAGAGCTCCCCTATGGGGCGGAGCTCCACGATATAGAGCAATAGTGGTGACTCCTTGCTGTCCCCAGTCCGCCTGGCCTTGCTGCTACTCCAGTTTCAACTGTTCTGCCTGCGGTTATGGAACCCCTACCTGTCCCAGACCTGCTGTTTTCAACTCTTAATGATCGGCTATGAAAAGCCAACTGAGATTTATTCCTGATTATTATTTGACCATGCTTGTCACTTATGAACATTTTTGAACATCTTGGCATGGTTCTGTTATAATCTTCACCCGGCACAGCCAGAAGAGGACTGGCCACCCCTCATAGCCTGGTTCCTCTCTAGGTTTCTTCCTAGGTTTTCGCCTTTCTAGGGAGTTTTTCCTAGCCACCGTGCTTCTACACCTGCATTACTAGCTGTTTGGGGTTTTAGGCTGGGTTTCTGTACAGCACTTCGAGATATTAGCTGATGTAAGAAGGGCTATATAAAATAAAATTGATTGGTTACAGGAGTGTAGTCTCGCTGAAGATAATTTATCGGGAGGCTGATTGAGGGGAAGCGTCCCCTCTTATAGGGACACCTGTACTCCGGTTGGCTGCAGGTGTGTTCATAATTCTGTCTCAGGCTGTTCGCTGCCTAGGCAGCGGGGTAAACCAATAGGAGCAGAGCTCCCCTATGGGGCTCCACTCCACTCATATAATTGGAGTTACACTCCGGTAACTATCGTTTTGTATGAAGCAATCACTCCACCATTGCTGACCAGAAATTAGCTATAACTGGGCTAATAACTCACTAACTAGCAAAGAATATCAACAAATGTGCACACAACTCTCGCTTTGATCTCAAAACAAGCGCATCTATCTACTCGCTTGTGCCAGTCATTGCAATAGAATCCTACTCAGAAGTGCTCTACAAAATCTATTGCATAGTTAGTTTTGCATACTAATGGTTGAGTATAATTTGTGTAACGTTCCACAAAATAACCCTCCCTACTGAGTCTTGCATAGTCAGTTTTGTTTCAGTATGTTGTATTGAAAGTGGCTAATATTACTTTGATTCGATCACAATTCCGGCCACAGTATAGGGAAACGTTGATTGTGTTAACTAAAGGGGAACATTCCAAACTTCCCGGAGGCTTTGCATACCTTTGTGGGATGGTTCGAGTACGGGAGGCGCCCCTAAGTCTCCATACGGGCGAATGAGTGTGTGTGTGTGTATTTAAGAACTGGGTTTGTTGCACAAGTCCCAAAAAATAGACGAGTGAGTCAAAATAGGAAAGCTGGCATAGGTTAAATCTAATTAGGCTACGTTTACTATTTTTCCAAATTTATCTCAACTTTACCATTGAAAATGGAGACTCAGAATGTCGCAACTGGTTCCATTGCCAACCCTGTTAAATTTCGGGACCAGGACTATGTAGCCCTCCTAGATGCGTGCATTAAATCAGGTTCGCTGTTCTCTGACTCAACCTTCACCCCGGACCAGAGCTCCATCGGTATGCCTACCGACCCGGACCCCAAAAAGGAGATCAAGTGGCTGCGACCCAAGGTAGGCTACCGTCCTATCAGTGTCTACCCCAGTGAGTCGAGATCACTTTCGCAGTCAAAAAGCAAGCCGAGATCTAACGCACATATATATATTTTTTAAACATGACTTATAAAAATGTCACATTAACCTAATCAAAACTATTCTGTAGAAATGAGGTTTGTGCAGTAGGCCTAATATATAATCACAGCATATTGGCTATATGCCTGGCCTGCCAATATTGTTATTCTCAGACCATATTATATTTCAAAACTCGAGCTTTGATAACAAAATAGTTCAGTTGGTGTAGCACTTGCGAGGCACAGCAGAGCATAAATTGAAATAATTCGCTTTTTTATTTTACTGGACTAATACTACCTGCATATGATGGTCATGGTGCTTTCAAGACAACTGGGAACAAGACAAAAAACGAAAATCGGAAAGACTCCCCCAGAGTTCCTGCTCTCTCACGGTCCCTGCTTTCTTATGCCTTTTCTTTCCTCTGGTGAGACTGAACAGAGAGAGGGGACACAATCTTCCACCTGATGGTGAAACTCGAGTCACTCACACCGCATCTGCCTCATGCACAAATCCATGTTGTTCCTTTGACCAGAGAAAGCAAAATATTACTTGAAAATAAAATAGACAGGACGAAATGCTAATAATAATACAAACGCAGGGCTTTGGATTATTTGAATCAGCTATGTAGTGCAAGGGGGGAGGGGCAGGACAGGACCGAGTTTGGGAAACCCTGGTCTACATGATAGCCAGCCATGTGGTCACACTCAAAAACCTACTTCTATATTGCAATAGTCAGCTTCTTACTCGTGATAGTCATGCTTATCTTACGGATATCTGTAGCCTATGTTCTAATTTTTCTAATGACATGAATTGAGGATATGAGTAGGTCTAGTTGTGTACAATTGGGTGTTGCTCCTGGACAGATGTAGGCTACATCTGAGCTGACTCACTGTCAGGTGTTGTCTAGTTTTGAGGAAGATAGATTGATCTGCTGGAGTATGTTAAGAGAGAAGAAAGACAAAGTACAGAGTCTGAGCCAAACAGCTGGACATGATATCTCTAAAAGCAGAAAAGAGATGGAATAATGAGATTACAACCGAAGAAGCCATGAAACGTTTGTGATGCAGTTTAAATCATGAACATTGCTTTGTCATCATCCAGTCAACTGTTATGTGAATGAAACGAGAGTGTTGTGTTGGTTATACACTCCCTCAGACAGTGTAAACTGTAGTCTTGAACTCTGCCCCTTGTCTCTCTCTCTCTGCAGGAGATCAGCGCCAATGCTGTGTTTGTGGAGGACACAATGTGCACCACCGATATCTGCCAGGGTCAGCTGGGTAAGTGTGTGTGTGCGTGCGTGTGTTTTAAACATCGTAGGATGGGATATCATTGCAGTAACAGGTAGACACTTATCTTCACTCCAACTCACAGTTTTCATGTACAGTGGGGAAAAAAAGTATTTAGTCAGCCACCAATTGTGCAAGTTCTCCCACTTAAAAAGATGAGAGAGGCCTGTAATTTTCATCATAGGTACACGTCAACTATGACAGACAAAATGAGAAAAAAATATCCAGAAAATCACATTGTAGGATTTTTAATGAATTTATTTGCAAATTATGGTGGAAAATAAGTATTTGGTCAATAACAAAAGTTTCTCAATACTTTGTTATATACCCTTTGTTGGCAATGACACAGGTCAAACGTTTTCTGTAAGTCTTCACAAGGTTTTCACACACTGTTGCTGGTATTTTGGCCCATTCCTCCATGCAGATCTCCTCTAGAGCAATGATGTTTTGGGGCTGTCGCTGGGCAACACGGACTTTCAACTCCCTCCAAAGATTTTCTATGGGGTTGAGATCTGGAGACAGGCTAGGCCACTCCAGGACCTTGAAATGCTTCTTACGAAGCCACTCCTTCGTTGCCCGGGCGGTGTGTTTGGGATCATTGTCATGCTGAAAGACCCAGCCACGTTTCATCTTCAATGCCCTTGCTGATGGAAGGAGGTTTTCACTCAAAATCTCACAATACATGGCCCCATTAATTCTTTCCTTTACACGGATCAGTCGTCCTGGTCCCTTTGCAGAAAAACAGCCCCAAAGCATGATGTTTCCACCCCCATGCTTCACAGTAGGTATGGTGTTCTTTGGATGCAACTCAGCATTCTTTGTCCTCCAAACACGACGAGTTGAGTTTTTACCAAAAAGTTCTATTTTGGTTTCATCTGACCATATGACATTCTCCCAATCCTCTTCTGGATCATCCAAATGCACTCTAGCAAACTTCAGACGGGCCTGGACATGTACTGGCTTAAGCAGGGGGACACGTCTTGCACTGCAGGATTTGAGTCCCTGGCGGCGTAGTGTGTTACTGATGGTAGGCTTTGTTACTTTGGTCCCAGCTCTCTGCAGGTCATTCACTAGGTCCCCCCGTGTGGTTCTGGGATTTTTGCTCACCGTTCTTGTGATCATTTTGACCCCACGGGGTGAGATCAAGATCGAGGGAGATTATCAGTGGTCTTGTATGTCTTCCATTTCCTAATAATTGCTCCCACAGTTGATTTCTTCAAACCAAGCTGCTTACCTATTGCAGATTCAGTCTTTCCAGCCTGGTGCAGGTCTACAATTTTGTTTCTGGTGTCCTTTGACAGCTCTTTGGTCTTGGCCATAGTGGAGTTTGGATTGTGACTGTTTGAGGTTGTGGACAGGTGTCTTTTATACTGATAACAAGTTCAAACAGGTGCCATTAATACAGGTAACGAGTGGAGGACAGAGGAGCCTCTTAAAGAAGAAGTTACAGGTCTGTGAGAGCCAGAAATCTTGCTTGTTTGTAGATGACCAAATACTTATTTTCCACCATAATTTGCAAATAAATTCATAAAAAATCCTACAATGTGATTTTCTGGATTTTTTTTCCTCAATTTGTCTGTCATAGTTGACGTGTACCTATGATGAAAATTACAGGCCTCTCTCATCTTTTTAAGTGGGAGAACTTGCACAATTGGTGGCTGACTAAATACTTTTTTCCCCCACTGTATAACTAGATTGACCTCACCTCTCCAAACCTATTCTCTTGGGAATGGTGTTGAGATATCCTGGTTATACTATCTGTATGGTTCAGACGCTGGAGGATCTCGATCTATCACACTGAATATGTCACCCCTCCACACTGCCCCAGGGGCTCCGCTCCAAACATATGGCCCAACAGCAGGGGGATCAGGGTAACATTCTGTGCTCTCACCTCCCAGTCCCAACCTCCTCGGAGTATCTGTAGGTCTAAAATGGACCCTGTGATCACACCCCTTTTTCCCATGAAAAACAATGTGCTTTGTTTATCACCACTTTTCATGTGATGTCCAGTCTGTTTTGCATTGCTGTGAAATGGTGAGAATTCTCATGTTGCTTTCTTGTTATTGCTTCATTATTTGTCCTCAAGGTTTGTGTGATGGATCTGGTGTCAATGTGGCATCCCTCTTTGTGTGTGTGTGTGTGTGTGCGTGCGTCAAACATCAACACCTCTTTCTTTCCTCTACATGGACACAAAGAGCAGCCGTTTACTGTTAGAGAGGAATGTGCCTGTGTGTGTACAGACATGTTTGTGTGCGCATGTGTTTGTGAGGGAGAGAGTGTGTGAGTGTGGGAAATCTGCAGTGTTAGAACTTCCTCAAGCGTCAGGAAATGATTTGAAATGAAAAACACATGTAGAATCAATTGAAATCAAATCCATACCTCTAGTTAACATGTATCTTGCCTTTGGCCTGTCTTTCTTTTTCTAATAGGTGACTGTTGGCTTCTGGCAGCCCTGTCCTGCCTTACCATGCACCCCAATCTCTTTGTCAAAGTGGTACCACCTAATCAGAGCCTGACAGAATCCTATGCTGGCATCTTCCACTTCACGGTAGTGCATGGGGGGGGGGGGTTCATGAGCTTGCTGTGTACATGTGTTATAATAATAATAATATGCCATTTAGCAGACGCTGTGTTCTGCGTACTCACTTTTTGTTATTACAATAAGAATGTCCATTACAATCTTATTAGTGTAGCATGCCTTGGAAAAGAGTGAGAGTGGTAATAGCAGGACTGAAAAGTAGTAGTTTCAAGTTTTAATGTCACATGCACAAGTACAGTGAAATGCCTTTCTTTCAAACTCAAAACCCAACAATGCAATAATCAATAACAATGTATTACTTGGAAAAAACAAACACGAGAAATAAGAATAAGAAATATGAAATACACAAAGTAAGTAAGTAAGCATACTATATACAGGAAATATTTAAAAAGTCAATTCCAAACCATATTTCCATGTGCAGGGATACTGGAGTGATTGAGGTAGATACAGTGGGGAGAACAAGTATTTGATACACTACCGACTTTACAGGTTTTCCTACTTACAAAGCATGTAGAGGTCTGTAATTTTTATCATAGGTATACTTCAACTGTGAGAGACGGAAAAAAAAAAAAAATCCAGAAAATCACATTGTATGATTTTTAAGTAATTAATTTGCATTTTATTGCATGACATAAGTATTTGATCACCTACCAACCAGTAAGAATTCCGTCTCTCACAGACCTGTTAGTTTTTCTTTAAGAAGCCCTCCTGTTCTCCACTCATTACCTGTATTAACTGCACCTGTTTGAACTCGTTACCTGTATAAAAGACTCCTGTCCACACACTCAATCAAACAGACTCCAATCTCTCCACAATGGCCAAGACCAGAGAGCTGTGTAAGGACATCAGGGATAAAATTGTAGACCTGCACAAGGCTGGGATGGGCTACAGGACAATAAGCAAGCAGCTTGGTGAGAAGGCAACAACTGTTGGCGCAATTATTAGAAAATGGAAGAAGTTCAAGATGACGGTCAATCACCCTCGGTCTGGGGCTCCATGCAAGATCTCACCTCGTGGGGCATATCAATGATCATGAGGAAGGTGAGGGATCAGTCCAGAACTACACGGCAGGACCTGGTCAATGACCTGAAGAGAGCTGGGACCACAGTCTCAAAGAAAACCATTAGTAACACACTACGCCATCATGGATTAAAATCCTGCAGCGCACGCAAGGTCCCCCTGCTCAAGCCAGCGCATGTCCAGGCCCGTCTGAAGTTTGCCAATGACCATCTGGATGATCCAGAGGAGGAATGGGAGAAGATCATGTGGTCTAATTAGACAAAAATAGAGCTTTTTGGTCTAAACTCCACTCGCCATGTTTAGAGGAAGAAGAAGGATGAGTACAACCCCAAGAACACCATCCCAACCGTGAAGCATGGAGGTGGAAACATCATTCTTTGGGGATGCTTTTCTGCAAAGGGGACAGGACGACTGCACCGTATTGAGGGGAGGATGGATGGGGCCATGTATCGCAAGATCTTGGCCAACAACCTCCTTCCCTCAGTAAGAGCATTGAAGATGGGTCGTGGCTGGGTCTTCCAGCATGACAATGACCCGAAACACACAGCCAGGGCAACTAAGGAGTGGCTCCGTAAGAAGCATCTCAAGGTCCTGGAGTGGCCTAGCCAGTCTCCAGACCTGAACCCAATAGAAAATGTTTGGATATCTGTTTTAGGCTTCTTGCGGTCAATTTGTTATTATGTTCCGGCCCCCTGACCATCCGCTCAAGAAAAAAATTGGCCTGTGGCTAAATCTAGTTGATGATCCCTGCCTTAGATTAACTTTGCTTGTACTAGTCCCCCCCACCCCTCACACACACTTTCGTACACACACCTCTAACCCACACTCTATCTCGTCTCAGCAAACTTGCCTCTGTCGTCATTTAGCATTCAATAACCTCCCGAGTGGCGCAGTGGTCTAAGGCGCTGCATCGCAGTGCTAGCTCGAATCCAGGCTCTGTCGTAGCCGGCCGCGACCGGGAGACCCATGGGGCGGCGCACAATTAGTCCAGGGTAGGGGAGGGAATGGCCGGCAGGGGTGTAGCTCAGTTGGTAGAGCATGTGGGTTCGATTCCCACGGGGGGCCAGTATGAAAAAATAAAAAATAATGTATAAATGACTAAAATGTAAATGTAATCATTTACAATTGCCTCAAAGGCATCTTCTCTGGACCAGTTGTCAGGTTAAATGAATTGATTACTAAAACATTGTCTCATGAAATAACGTCTGGAAACATTAAAACATCATAGAGGTCATGAGTTATGCCTTGTTATTTTCTCTAATTGCGTTAATATTTTCTCAGGTGACTTGGTCCTCGCAGTGAAGTATGTGTGGCATGGCGTAACGTGTCGGTCGGAAGGAAGGGGGATAAATATGAGTAGACTTAGAGAGCAGGAGGGGTTATGTTGGGAGTTGTTGGCAGTTGTTATTCTTCAATAACATAGACCCCAAAGCAAATCAGGGGGAGAAAAATATATTTATTCAAAGAGAACAAATCATAGTTGTAATGCTGGAAAGTAGATGGTAGACGTTAATTATTTCCTGTCCTCAATGTTTCTCCACTGAAGAGACAGGATGTAGTTTATAGCCTCAAGCCTAGCATGTGGTGGACCAATTAGAATTCCTTGCAATAGAATTGGGCCAACGGCCAAACCCCCAAGTATCCGGTTTCAGGCTCAATGTACAGTTGAAGTCGGAAGTTTACATACACCTTAGCCAAACACATTTAAACTTAGTTTTTCACAATTCCTGACATTTAATTCTAGTAAAAATTCCCTGTCTTAGGTCAGTTAGGATCACCACTTTATTTTAAGAATGTGAAATGTAAGAATAATAGTAGAGAGAATGATTTATTTAATATTTTATTTCTTTCATCACATTCCCAGTGGGTCAGAAGTTTACATTAAATCAATTAGTATTTGGTAGCATTGCCTTTAAATTGTTTAACTTGGGTCATACGTTTTGGGTAGCCATCCACAAGCTTCCCACAATAAGTTGGGTGAATTTTGGCCAATTTCTCCTGACAGAGCTGGTGTAACTGAGTCAGGTTTGTAGGCCTCCTTACTCACACTCGCTTTTTCAGTTCTGCCCACACATTTTCAATTGAGGTCAGGGCTTTGTGATGGCCACTCCAATACCTTGACTTTGTTGTCCTTAAGCCATTTTGCCACAACTTTGGAAGTATGCTTGGGGTCATTGTCCATTTGGAAGACCCATTTGCGACCAAGCCTTAACTTCCTGACTGATGTCTTGAGATGTTGCTTCAATATATCCACATAATTTTTCTTCCTCATGATGCCATCTATTTTGTGAAGTGCACCAGTCCCTCCTGCAGCAAAGCACCCCCACAACATGATGCCAAACAGATCTATTTTTGTTTCATCAGACCTGAGGACATTTCTCCAAAAAGTACGATCTTTGTCTCCATGTGCAGTTGCAAACCGTAGTCTGGCTTCTTTATGGCGGTTTTGGAGCTGTGGCTTCTTCCTTGCTGAGTGGCCTTTCAGGTTATGTCGAAATAGGACTCGTTTTGCTGTGGATATATATACTTTTGTACCTTTTGTCCATTGCTGTTGTTCTGGGATTGATTTGCACTTTTCGCACCAAAGTACGTTCATCTCTAGGAGACAGAGCACGTCTCCTTCCTGAGCGGTATGACGGCTGCGTGGTCCCATGGTGTTAATACTTGCGTACTATTGTTTGTACAGATGAATGTGGTACCTTCAGGTGTTTGGAAATTGCTCCCAAGTATGAACCAGACTTGTGGAGGTCTACACATTTTGTTTTGAGGTCTTGGCTGATTTCTTTTGATTTCCCCATGATGTCAAGCAAAGAGGCACTGAGTTTGAAGGTAGGCCTTGAAATACATCCACAGGTACACCTCCAATTGACTCATGATGTCAATTAGCCTATCAGAAGCTTCTAAAGCCATGACATCATTTTCTGGAATTTCCCAAGCTGTTTAAAGGCACAGTCAACTTAGTGTATGTAGACTTCTGACCCACTGGAATTGTGATACAGTGAATTATAAGTGAAATCATCTGTCTGTAAACAATTGTTGGAAAAATGACTTGTGTCATGCACAAAGTAGATGTCCTAAGCGACTTGCCAAAACTATAGTTTGTTAACAAGAAATGTGTGGAGTGGTTGAAAAACGAGTTTTAATAACTCCAACCTAAGTGTATGTAAACTTCCGACTTCAACTGTATAGACAATTTGGACCAATGAGAACTTGCCACATGTAGCTATGAGTTTAGAGACATCACTAAGGCATAACTCATTACCTCTGATGTTTTAATGTAGGCCTGTACTTGCCCACTGTTATGCAACACATTACATGTAGATGTCTGAGCCCTAGGACCATACGTCGGGACTACCGGCCGTGGTGACTCCTTGCTGTCCCCAGTCCGCCTGGCCTTGCTGCTATTCCAGTTTCAACGGTTCTGCCTGCGGTTATGGAACCCCTACCTGTCCCAGACCTGCTGTTTTCAACTCTTAATGATCGGCTATGAAAAGCCAACTGAGATTTATTCCTGATTATTATTTGACCATGCTTGTCACTTATGAACATTTTTGAACATCTTAGCATGGTTCTGTTATAATCTCCACCCGGCACAGCCAGAAGAGGACTGGCCACCCCTCATAGCCTGGTTCCTCTCTAGGTTTCTTCCTAGGTTTTGGCCTTTCTAGGGAGTTTTTCCTAGCCACCGTGCTTCTACACCTGCATTACTAGCTGTTTGGGGTTTTAGGCTGGGTTTCTGTACAGCACTTCGAGATATCAGCTGATGTACGAAGGGCTATATAAAATAAAATTGATTGATTGATTGATTGATGTCTCTCTCCCCTTCTCCCTCCTCCCTCCCTCTCCACCTCTCTCCCTACATCCCCCTCCTCCCTTCTCCCTCCCTCACTGTCCAATCTCTTTATGCCTCCCTCTCCCGCCCTACCTACCTCCCTCCCTCTCCCTCCATACCTCCCTCTCCTTCCCGCCTCCTCCCTCCCCTCCCTCTGTAGTTCTGGCAGTATGGTGAGTGGGTGGAGGTGGTAGTGGATGACAGGCTGCCTGTACGCGGAGGCCGACTGCTCTTCAGCTACTCCTGTACCCGCAACGAGTACTGGAGCGCCCTGGTGGAGAAAGCCTATGCCAAGTCAGTCAACCGAGATGTGTGTGTGTGTGTTTGTGTGTGTGTGTAATGTCTTACATAATTGTACTGTTTGTGTGTGTCTGGCTGTGTGTGCCTGACAATGCTCTTATGAGGTTTCAGCCTCCTCATTTGAATGCACTTATTGTAAGGCACTTTGAAAAAGAGCATCTGCTAAATGACAGAAAATGTAAATCTAGAAAATGTCCCCTTCCTTTATATGCCTCATTCCTCTCTCATTCCTCTCCCACGCCACACTATCCCCTTCCCCTTCCCCTCCCACACCACTCTATCCCCTTCCTCTCCCACACCACTCTATCCCCTCCCCCTTCTCTCCACACACTCCTTTCACCTGCTCCCTCTACCCCTATCTCGGAGCAGGCTGATCGGGTCGTATGGCAGTCTGAAGGGGGGTAATATCTCTGAGGCGATGGAGGACTTCACAGGTGGCATTGCCTACTCCCTCCCTGTATCCTCACGCACCCCCAGGATCATGTGGAAAGCCCTCTCTGATGCCCTGTCCCGTGGCAGCCTGCTCAGCTGCTTCATACAGGTACAGCACAAACACACACATGCACGCAAGAACGCACGCACACACACACTCACACCCATGGCACATATATGATTCATATACTTTATGGTGAATGCTGTTCCCAACATAGCTACACACCTATCTCACACCCACACCTCTCCTTTGTCAATAGCTACTGTGATTGCAAGTGTGATTCTCACTGTGTAAGCAGCAAGTTGCTCTCTATGTGCTGTGTATCTCCACAGGCTAAGAACTACCTTGAGATTGGCACAGTGACTGCAGAGGGACTGGTGAAGGGCCATGCATACGCCATCACAGACACTGACACGGTATGTCTCATACTGTGCTTCACCAAGCTAAAGTCATCAGAAAATAATCCACTTTCCCATTTTGCTCACATAATTATTTGTGTATGTGGTTCAGGTGAAGAAGTCGGCTGGTGAGGCCTTGTTGCTGAGGCTGAGGAACCCCTGGGGCTTTGTGGAGTACTCTGGACCCTGGAGTGACAAGTGAGGAAGTGTGTGTGTGTGTGTGTTTGCGTGCATGTGTGTTCGTTTTGTCGTTACACAGTAATCCTGTGCTGATTTTCCTGTGTGTGTAATTGTAGGAGTAAAGTCTGGGATGATGTGGATGCTGCTGAAAAGAAAAGGATTGAGCTGAAAAATAGTGAGGACGGAGAGTTCTGGTAGGTTCTGGCATTACAAACACAAACATACGTAGACACATACATCGACCAGTCTCTATATCTACTGTACTTTATTTTTGTTTATGCATACATGTGTATATATAACATAATGTATAATAACTGATACAAATAATGAAAAATGATGTAATGTATTATAGATGACTCCAAATGAAATACTGTACCATGTTTGACTATGACTGCATTCAGTGTTTCAAAACTCTATTTGAGTGGTCCACAATGTGGTTTTTAAAATCTGTATTTTGTAATGTCAACTATTGTATCATTGTGGAATGACACTTTAATAAATGTTTCTAACCGTAACTCTACATCTCATCTAGTTTCACACAATACAACAACAGCACACACACACATTCTAACAGGATGTATCCTCTCTGTGTGTCAGGATCAGTGCGGAGGACTTCAACAAGCTGTTTGACACAGTGGAGCTGTGTAGTGTGGACCCTGACCCCATAGTGGACGAGGACACACCCACCGACCCCGACTCCCCTCCCGCCCCCATCTCTGCCTGGACCCTCAGCTCCCACAAAGGCTCCTGGGTATCGGGCTCCACTGCAGGGGGAAGCTGTAGTTACCCTCGTGAGTCTGTGTGTGTGTTTCCAAAAGCATATTGTTTGTAATTTCACCTACTTGTCATTTACTACCTTCCTTTTCATCACCCCGACTCCCCCCCCCCCCCCCCCCTCTTTTTCTCTCTCTATTGTAGGATCTTTCTGGAAGAATCCACAGTTCCAGCTTATCCTTGCCGAGCATGATGATGATAAAGTGATGACCCCGGAGGAGAACAAGGTGTCAGAGAAGCAGAATGAGAAAGCAAAGCAGTGCACCGTGCTGGTGGAACTACTGCAGAAAGACCGGAGAAAGAAGGATAAAATCAACTTCCTCCACATCGCCTTCCACATCTACAGGGTAAGAGAGAAAGGGAGAGAAAGTGTTTTGTCCCTGTATGTGCTGTGAATCTGAATGTTCTACATCTTCAGTTAATCGGATGTCTTTCCTGTCTCTGCAGGTTCCTCCAAAGGTGAGTATGTTATTCTAAAGTATTTGAAAAACCTACATAATTTCATTAGTTAGACAATGTCATCACTTTTAATCTACCAATGTCTGCTGCCCCCTCTCTCTCCACCATTACCACCCTCTCTCCCTCTTTTCTATCTCTGCCTTCCTCTTCCTCTCTCGCCTCTTCTCCTCTCTTCCCCTCCCCTCCCGTTCTCTCCTCTCCTCCCTGCTCCACCTGTCGTAGCTCCAGAGCCTGTGTCTGGACCAGAGCTTCTTCTCTTCCCAGCAGCCTGTGGGGAGCTCTGGGAAGTACCAGCCCCTCAGGTACTGTACCTCCGCAGCCAGTATTCACGGCAAATACAGTATGTCACATTTTCATGAAAACAGTCTATAAAGTTGTATCTCATCTCTTCTTCTCTTCTTCTCTTTTGTCACCGTAGGGCTGTGTGGAGGGAGGTGAGGCTGGACCCAGGAAACTATGTGATACTGGCCTCCACCTACAGTCCCAACCAGCCTGCGGAATTCTTCCTCCGCATCTATTCCAAGACTGGCAACAATCTGGGGTACAGAGGGGGTGGGTGGGGGCGGGTGATGATTATGCTGATGATGACAATTCAATGACAATCTCATATTGCGTTGAGACTGATGGTGCTCCTCCTTGTATTCCAGGACCCAAGCCTTCACCTGCTCCACTGGCTTCCTCATGGTGAGTTGAACCTTACTGAAGCATACTTTTACTGCACTACTGCTCTCCAGTTCAGCAAGCCAACTGTCAGTGTGCGTGTGTGTGTGTGTGTGTCCTTCACAGGTAATGTCAATGCCACCAGTCTTGCCAGAGGATCGGAAGAGAGTACAGAAGACCTTTGATGAGGTGGCAGGGCCGGTAGGAATTCTCTCATCTCAAAATATAACTCAACCATAGAAGAGAAATGTCTCCCTTATACAGTCTTAACCTCCTGTTCTCTCTCCCTGGCAGGATGACAGGCTGAATGCTAAGGAGTTCATGAAGCTGGTTAACTCAGGTTAGATCATTCATGAACTCAGGTTGTCATTATAAGGTTAATTTAGTCCAACCATGTTGCAGAACTCCCTAAACTGCTGTAATGAAGGGTACAACTATTGTATGTTGGTCCTATTGAGGGGAATATTCTGACACTGCAGTACCAGTAAAAGCCAGTAGGTGGGAGCAGAGTAGCAAGGTTTCCTCTAGCAGGTAGACAAACTTTTGGGGGAAATTGAAATGATTCTCTAGACAAAACCTCATAGCTAATATACCATTACAATCCTCTGCCTCTTTCACTCCTCCCCTCTCTCAGTTCTGGAGAAAGATTACCAGCTGCCACTGGAGACATGCAGACAGCTCATCTTTGGAGAGAATGTATCCTTTTATTTGGCCAATTGTTTTTCTTGCCAGAGCCCATATCTACAAAGCATCTAAGAGCAGGAGTGCTGATCTTTGATTTGTCCATTTAATTATATTCATTATGATCTAAAAGGCTAAACTGATCCTAGATCAGCAGCCATATTTAATAAATACTTTCTTAACACTTATTTTTTCTTAAAATTGGGTTGTTGGTTAAGTGCTTTTAATAAGCATTTCACTGTAAGGTCTACAGCTGTTGTATTCGGCGCATGTGACAAATAACATTTGATTTGATATGCATTGTGGATACGGGCCCTGGTACTTTTTGAGCACCTGTGTCTGAGAGCGATCCCTAACTCACTTGTCAGACTGGGGGACGCAGCAGTCTGACCCGAGAGCAGACAGAGCCTGTGCTGGCCTCTCTTCGCAATCTGCAGGTACGACTGAGGGACAAGCTCCAAGGTGTTAAGCAATAAATCCAGAGGGGGTATGGTATATTGGCCATTATAAACTTGTTCAAGCCCTGAATGCTGATTGGCTGACAGCCATGGTACATCAGACCCTGTGTTGAATGGCGCCGTAGAGATGGCTGCCGTTTTACAGCCCTCTAACCAAATGTACTATTATGTGTGTTTTTTCGCGTTATTTGTAATTTATTCTGTACATAATGTTTCTGCCACTGTCTCTTATGACCAAAAAGAGCTTCTGGATATCAGGACAGCGATTACTCACCTCGTATTGGACAAAGATTTTTTCTTCAACGAGTCGGACGCGAAGGATATTCTACAGACACCCAACAAGGCCCAAATCCCCATCATTCGCATGAGAAAGAGACGGAGATATCGTGGACATAGGTCGGGGTGCCTTGTAAGGATCCGATGGCGAGCGAGTAAACTTCCTCTTCCATCAATCCTATTAGCCAATGTTCAATCATTTGAAAATAAATTGGACGACCTAAGATTAAGGTTATCCTACCAACAGAACATTAAAAACTGTAATATCTTATGTTTCACCGAGTCGTGGCTGAACGACGACATTTATAACATACAGCTGGCGGGATATACGCTACATCGGCAGGATAGAACGGCGCTGACTCTGTGTATATTTGTAAACAACAGCTGGTGCATAACATCTAATACTAAGGAAGTCTCGAGGTTTTGCTCGCCTGAGGTAGAGTATCTCATGATAAGCTGTAGACCACACTATTTACCAAGAGAGTTTTCATCTATATTTTTCGTAGCTGTCTATTTACCACCACAAACCGATGCTGGCACTAAGATTGCACTCAATGAGCTGTATAAGGCCATAAGTAAACAGGAAAACGCTCATCCAGAGGCAGCACTCCTAGTGGCCGGGGACTTTAATGCAGGGAAACTTAAATCCGTTCTACCTAATTTCTACCAGCATGTTAAATGTGCAACCAGAGGGAAAAAAACTCTAGACAATCTTTACTCCACACACAGAGATGCGTACAAAGCTCTCCCTCTGCCTTATAAGCAAATACTAAAGCAGGAAGCACCAGTGCATCAGTTAATAAGGAAGTGGTCAGATGACGCAGATGCTAAGCTACAGGACTGTTTTGCTAGCACAGACTGGAATATGTTCTGGGATTCTTCCGATAGCATTGAGGAGTACACCACATCAGTCACTAGCTTCATCAATAAGTGCATCGATGGCGTCGTCCCCACAGTGACCGTACGTACATACCCTAACCAGAAGCCATGGATTACAGGCAACATCTGCACTGAGCTAAAGGGTAGAGCTGCCGGTTTCACCCCTCGGGTGCGTGCTCAGTCCCCTCCTGTACTCCCTGTTCACTCATGACTGCATGGCCAGGCACAACTCCAACACCATCATTAAGTTTGCCGACGACACAACAGTGGTAGGCCTGATCACCGACAACGATGAGACAGCCTATAGGGAGGAGGTCAGAGACCTGGCCGTGTGGTGCCAGGATAACAACCTCTCCCTCAACGTGATCAAGACAAAGGAGATGATTGTGGACTACAGGAAAAAAAAAGAGGACTGAGCACGCCCCCATTCTCATCGACGGGGCTGTAGTGGAACAGGTTGAGAGCTTCCAGTTCCTTGGTGTGCACATCACCAACGTACTATCATGGTCCAAACACACCAAGACAGTTGTGAAGAGGGCACGACAAAGCCTATTCCCCCTCAGGAGACTGAAGAGATTTGGCATGGGTCCTCAGATCCTCAAAAGGTTATACAGCTGCACCATCGAGAGCATCCTGACTGGTTGCATCACCGCCTGGTATGGCAACTGCTTGGCCTCCGACCGCAAGGCACTACAGAGGGTAGTGCGTACGGCCCAGTACATCACTGGGACCAAGCTTCCTGCCATCCAGGACCTCTATACCAGGCGGTGTCAGAGGAAGGCCCAAAAAATGGTCAGACTCCAGCCACCCTAGTTGTAGAGTGTTCTCTCTGCTACCGCACGGCAAGCGGTACCGGAGCGCCAAGTCTAGGTCCAAAAGGCTTCTTAACAGCTTCTACCCCCAAGCCATAAGACTTCTGAACAGATAATCATGGCTACCCGGACTATTTGCATTGCCCCCCCACCCAACCCCACCCCACGCTGCTGCTACTCTGTTTATTATTTATGCGTAGTCACTTTAACTCTACCCACATGTACATATTACCTCAATTACCTCGACTAACTGGTGCCCCCGCACATTGACTCTGTGCCGGTACCCCCTGTATATAGCCTCCCTACTATTATTTTATTTTACTGCTGCTCTTTAATTATTTGCTATTTTCTATTTTTTACTTATCTATGTTTTACTGAACACTTAAAAAAAAATATATATATTTTTTTTTTTCTTTAAAAAACTGCGTTGTTGGTTAAGGGCTTGTAAGTAAGCATTTCACTGTAAGGTCTACACCGGTTGTATTCGGCGCATGTGGCAGATTTGATTATACCATGGGTACGACAAAACATTTATTTTTACTGCTCTAATTACGTTGGTAACCAGTTAATAATAGCAATAATTTATCTCTGGAGTTTGTGGTATATGGCCAATATACCACGGCTAAGGGCTGTATCCAGGCACTCCGTGTTGCGTCATGCATAAGAACAGCCCTTAACCGTTGTATATTGGCCATATACCACACCTCCTCGGGCCTTAAAGCTTAAATATACAGCGGATAAGGGCTGTTCTTAAGCACGATGCGAAGCTGAGTGCCTGGATACAGCCCGTAGCCGTGGTATTTTGGCCAAATACCACAAACACCAGAGGTGCCTTATTGCTATGATAAACTGGTTCATACACATGGTATATTGTCTGATATACACACGGCTGAAATGCTGTTTCAGCCAATCAGCATCCAGGACCCAAAATACCTGGTTAATAATTAGTCATATTACTAAGCTACAGCTACTCAACCATCTGTCATTGACCTCTCACGCTCTTTCTCTTTCAGTCCATCTTCTTCAAGTTTGATCAGGACTCTTCAGGGACCATGAGCCCCTTTGAGCTTTGTCTGGCCCTCCAGGCTGCTGGTGCGTACACACACACACACACACACACACACACACACACACACACACACACACACACACACACACACACACACACACACACACGTCCACACTCTCTCTCTCTGCCTCTTACACTCCCTCCCTCCCTCCATCCGTCTCTCACTCTCTCATTCACTCACTCACTCCCTCACTTTCCATATCATTGTTACATTTTACCCCCATTCTTGAACATTTCTCTCTTCTTCCTCCCTCCTGCTAGGTGTGCAGTGTGATGGCCAGGTCATACAGGTGCTGTGGGAGAGGTTTGGCTCTGGGGAGCTGCACCTGCCGTTCCATGGCTTTGTGGCCTGTGTCACCAGGCTGCGCAAGCTATTCGGTATGTCAACACACACACACGCACATTTCTACACACTTAGGTGTGTTGTGTTTTGTTGCAGGTTTTGATATTCAGCCTTAATATTGTGTCTTTGTATCCCCTTTCCCCAGCCCTGTATCAAACAGAGAGCAACCCAGAGGTCAAAGACAGAGGAATCAATGCTGTGAGTCCTCCTTGACCATAAAATCAAATCAACCAAAACCCTGGCCCTAACCCTAACTTCATGTCCACATCCTGGTTCAACCCTAACCCTCAACCACAACCCTAACCCTAATCCAAAACCTAACTTCATGTTCACATCCTGGTTCGACCCTAACCCTGACCACAACCCTAACCCTAACTCTAGCTTCATGTCCACATCCCGGTTCAACCCTAACCCTACCCTCACCCACAACCCTAGCATAATGTCCACATTCCTGTTCAACCCTTACCCTAGCCATAACCCTATATCTTGACGGTAACCATGACCCTAAACATGAACCATAACCTGACCCTAACCCGTCCTGTGCCAGACCATATCCTCAAGCATAACTCATACCTTGACCCTGACCCCACCTTTAATACAGGCTATACCCTTACTAATGCCCTCTAGCCCTGACTGGTTGCTGCTCTTTTTGCTGTTTTCTTACAGTGGCTGCTCCGACTCCTGACCGTGTGAGTGTGCTCTGCAAACGGGGTCTCTGCGTGGGCACTGCAGGGGCATTCTGTCTGACCAGGACCATATGATAACATCATGCCTCCGTCGGCGCCCTCGTCCACACACACACACACAAACAACTCCTGGCCTTTGTCACAATACGATACACTGCTGCTATAGGCACTGTCATGTTAGCAGTGTCAGAATAACAGCCTCAAAGCAGTATGTGATGACGATGTCACACATCACATTATATTCTATGATGTACACCACTGTCATTCTCTACAGCAATATTGTATTATAGTGCTTTACATTAATTTACATGGATAGTACCTGTGGAGTTAGTGTCACTACTAATGTATTTGATGTGTACACAAATATGAATCTCTAAATCTCTATTTCCGCAAAGAATCTTCAGCATTTCAGCTAAATATTTTCAGCAATTGAGTCAAGTTCTTTAACTTCTTTCATTATTTGAGTTTTTAATAGTGAAAATGTAGTTCAAGCTCTGGAAATTAAAATAAAAAACGCAGTAATGACATGTATCCCAAAATAAATCCAGTGATTTCTGGGTTTATAAATACAGCCCAGCCTCACACACACACACACGGTGAGTACGGCCTGCCCTGGTGAGGGAGTGAGGGTGATGTCTCAGCCACGCTGCACTCATCGTCTCTATTCTTATCATACTGACGCCACGTACAGCGTCAACACGCACTCACCTCCTCCGCTACGTTCCCTCGCTCCCTCCCTCCTTTGCTCCATCCATCCCTCCCTCCCTCCCTCGTGCTCTCTCTAGTAACTCTGTCTCAGTTTCACAATCTGCCTCCTTCCTCTGATACCCTCTGTGCTCTCAGTCACAAACACACAAACATGTACGCTCTTGTCCTTTCTCCTGATGCTCCTATAAATATAATCTTTGCTCACACACAGCTTCCTGTTCATCTTTAGGTGACCACTGTTGTGGCAAATTCATCCTTATATTAATCAAAGAACCAAAGTATTTCAGAGTTTTTGTAGAATTAAGATAGACTTTATTACATACATAATAGAGCCGAAGTGGTTTGCAAAACATCTGATTGTCCACCTCCCAGCTCTCAGTTTATATAATAATTGTACATACATTTTGGCATTTTGGAATGCCCCTCTTTCAATACTATAGACACTGCTTTAGATTGTGCCCCTTTCCGATAAATGTTGTTAGTTAAGATCATGGCAACAGCTCTATCGCAATTGCCAGTCTGCTATTATTTGAAGTCAGTAGATTTAGGTAACTGTCATTTCTGATTAGGCTACAGGTAACAAAACATACACTTGTTGTAGTTTACAAGCATATATTCAATTAATTTTCATATTCCATTCAATAGGTTCCTCCAGAAAACCATTAGGTCACACAAAAAAACGAATTACCTCAATCGTTCCAATCTCTTAAAATAAACACTGGCTGCTATATCAATCTAAGCAACCCATTGCCATAGTCGAATTATAATCAGAAACCCAGATTTTAGTCAGTAACACAGAACCTATGCCTATTCAAATGACAAATAAATCCCGCAAATATCCTAATTACAATGGTTTGTAGTCTTAACATCTGTCACATAACACAATTACCAGAAAATAGCCTTAAAGGTCGTCCAAGTGTTTCTTTGCAGAGATCTCACATGCTCAAAGGGAATAATTAGCAGTCAACGAGTCAAATCTACATTCAGTGATTTGGAAACAGATCTAACAAGTTTAATCAAATGGATTATGTTTTCCCTTGCGACATAATAACATTCCTTTACACCCCCTTAGCTCCGCAATGAGAGACAGTCATATAATGCTTAACCTAATCAAATCTCTAATAACCGATTCTACACACATAACAATTCACCATATCGTCATATACTCACATCAACCAATCAATTCTTTTTTTTAACGATTCTCAATCGACACAAATCAACTTCTAGAAACATACTCCCAGCGGAACCAAAAAAACAGACTGTAGTTTCCAGGACATTGCCCTGTCTGTCATGGGATCCACCCAGAAAATACTGACTTTCCACAACTTTTTAAAACACCATTCCACTCTCAATACCACTTCTTGATCTTCTATGATCTAAGTCTGTTATTGTCAAGGCGTCAGTGTAATGCGGTAGGTTGAAGTCAGGCGCAGGACACAGAGCTAATCGAAAAACGTCCTTTACTCGTAGGTATCTTAATGAACATACCTCCATGCAGGGAGGAACAAACCCACTCACATACGACAACCAAAACATGAACAAACATGCACAACACACAGTGTGAGCCAGAGGGTTAAATAGGAAAGATATAATTACATGATGGGAAACAGGTGAGACCAATACAGACAAATCAAGTAGAACATAGAAACATGGATCGGTAGCAGCTAGTACTCCGGTGACGACGAACCCCGAAGCCTGCCCAAGCAAGGAGGAGGGTCAGCCTCGGATGAATTCGTGACAGTACCCCCCCCTTGACGCGCGGTTTCAGCCGTGCGCCGACCCCGGCCTCGGGGACGGCCAGGAGGACGCGGAGCAGGGCGAGTCGGATGACGACGGTGGAAATCCCTCAACATGGAGGGATCGAGGATGTCCCTCCTAGGGACCCAGCACCGTTCCTCCGGACCGTACCCCTCCCACTCCACGAGATACTGCAGGCCCCCCACCCAACGCCTCAAATCCAAGATAGAACGGAACGAGTATGCCGGTGCCCCCTCGATGTCCAGTGGGGGCGGAGGAACCTCCCGTACCTCAGACTCCTGGAGTGGACCAGCTACTACCGGCCTGAGGAGAGACACATGGAATGAGGGGTTAATACGGTAATTAGGAGGAAGCTGTAACCTATAACAAACCTTGTTCAATCTCCTCAGGACTTTAAATGGCCCCACAAACCACCGACCCAGCTTCCGGCATGGCAGGCGAAGGGGCAGGTTTCGGGTTGAGAGCCAGACCCGGTCCCCCGGTGCATACACCGGGGCCTCACTGCGGTGGCGGTCAGCGCTCGCCTTTTGTCGCCTGATGGCCCACTGCAGGCGTACATGGGCAGCGTTCCAGGTCTCTTCAGAGCGCCAAAACCACTCATCCACCGCAGGAGCCTCGATCTGGCTCTGATGCCAAGGTGCCAGGACCGGCTGATAACCTAACACACACTGAAATGGAGAAAGGTTAGTGGAGGAGTGGCGGGGTGAGTTTTGGGCCATCTCTGCCCAGGGGATAAAACCCGACCACTCCCCCGGCCGGTCCTGGCAATAGGACCGCAGAAACCTACCCACATCCTGGTTAACTCTCTCCACCTTCCCATTACTCTCGGGGTGAAAACCTGAAGTCAGGCTGATCGAGACCCCCAGACGTTCCATGAACGCCCTCCAGACCCTTGAGGTGAACTGGGGACCCCGATCCGATACAATATCCTCAGGTACCCCGTAGTGCCGGAAGACGTGTGTAAATAGGGCCTCAGCAGTTTGTAGGGCCATAGGGAGACCTGGCATAGGAATGAGACGGCAGGACTTAGAAAACCGATCCACAACGACCAGGATCGTGGTGTTCCCTTGTGAGGGGGGAAGGTCCGTAACAAAATCCACCGATAGGTGGGACCACAGCCGTTGTGGAACGGACAGGGGTTGTAATTTCCCTCTGGGAAGGTGTCTAGGTGCCTTACACTGGGCGCACACCAAGCAGGAGGAAACATAAACCCTCACATCCTTGGCTAAAGTGGGCCACCAGTACTTCCCACTAAGACAGTGCACTGTCCGACCGATGCCAGGATGACCAGAGGAGGGTGACATGTGAGCCCAGTAGATCAATAGATCGCGAACCTTGAGCGGCACGTACATAGGACCCTCTGGACACTGGGGGGGAGTGGGCTCGGTACGTAACACCCGCTCGATGTCCGCGTCAACCTCCCACACCACTGGTGCCACCAGACACGACGCCGGAAGTATGGGAGTGGGCTCAATGGACCTCTCCTCTGTGTCATACAGTCGGGACAGGGCGTCTGCCTTAGCGTTCTGGGAACCTGGTCTGTAAGAAAGAGTAAACACAAAACGAGTGAAGAACATGGCCCACCTTGCCTGGCGAGGGTTCAATCTCCTCGCCGCCCGGATGTACTCCAGATTGCGGTGGTCAGTCAAAATGAGAAAAGGGTGTTTAGCCCCCTCAAGCCAATGCCTCCACACTTTCAGAGCTTTAACCACAGCTAACAGCTCCCGGTCCCCCACATCATAGTTGCGCTCCGCCGGGCTGAGCTTCTTCGAAAAGAAAGCACAGGGGCGGAGCTTTGGTGGCGTACCTGAGCACTGAGACAGTACAGCTCCTATCCCAGCCTCGGACGCATCCACCTCAACCTGAAATGCTAAGGAGGGATCCGGATGAGCCAGCACTGGAGCCGAGGTAAACAGGTCCTTCAGGTGACCAAAAGCCCTGTCTGCCTCAGCTGACCACTGCAGTTGCACCGGTCCCCCTTCAGACAGGAGGTAATGGGAGCCGCTACCTGACCAAAGCCCCGGATAAACCTCCGGTAGTAGTTGGCAAAACCCAAGAATCGCTGCACCTCCTTCACCGTGGTTGGAGTTGGCCAATTACGCACGGCCGAAATGCGGTCAATCTCCATCTCCACACCTGACGCGGACAGGCGGTGCCCTAGGAAGGAGATGGACTCTTGGAAGAACAGACATTTCTCCGCCTTCACATACAGGTCATGCTCCAACAGTCGACCAAGCACCTGACGCACCAGGGACACATGCTCGGCCCGTGTAGCGGAGTATATGAGAATGTCATCAATATACACCACTACACCCTGTCCGTGCAGGTCCCTGAAAATCTCATCAACAAAGGATTGGAAGACTGATGGAGCATTCATCAACCCGTATGGTATGACGAGGTACTCATAGTGCCCAGAGGTGGTACTGAATGCTGTCTTCCACTCATCTCCCTCCCGGATACGCACCAGGTTGTACACACTCCTGAGATCCAATTTAGTGAAGAAGCGCGCCCCGTGCAATGACTCCGTCATACTAGCAATCAGAGGTAGTGGATAGCTGTACTTCACAGTGATCTGATTAAGACCACGGTAGTCAATGCACAGGCGTAAGCCACCATCCTTCTTCTTCACAAAAAATAACCTTGAGGAGACAGGGGAAGTGGAAGGCCGAATGTATCCCTGCCTCAGAGATTCGGTGACATATGTTTCCATAGCCGTCGTCTCCTCCTGTGACAGAGGATACACGTGACTCCAGGGAAGTGCAGCGCCTACCTAGAGTTTTATCGCACAATCCCCCTGTCGATTGGGTGGTAATTGAGTCGCCTTCTTTTTACAGAAGGCAAGAGCCAAATCGGCATATTCAGGCGGAATGTGCATGGTGGAAACCTGGTTTGGACTTTCCACCGTAGTTGCCCCTATGGAAACACCTACACACCTCCCTGAGCACTGACTTGACCATCCCTTGAGAGCCCTCTGTTGCCATGAAATAGTGGGGTCATGAGAGGTTAACCAGGGAAGCCCCAACACCACTGGAAACGCAGGAGAATCAATCAGATAGAGACTACATTTTTCCTCATGACCCTCCTGCGTCTTCATCCAGAGTGGAGCTGTGACCTCCATAATCAGACCTGACCCTAAAGGGTGACTATCTAGGGCATGTACAGGGAAGGGCACATCAACAGGCACAATAGGAATCCCTAAACTACGGGAAAACTG